GATTTCAAGAACAGAGGTATGTTTCGTGGCACTTACAGCGCGTTATGGGGTCTGAAGATGCTTGGTTTTGATCCAGGTAGATTGAGTGAACGCCCAGGAATCGATTGAGATATGTCTCAGCTCTTGAAAACACCTCTAACTATGATTTTGATCTCAAGCTTTTTTTGTGTATTTTTCCAATCTTGTTCTGCCTCTCTCTGCACTTGCCAACCCTTGTTTCGTATCCTTTGGCTTACTTATGTATTGTGTAGTGTATTAGGGTAAGAATCATGGACTGAATCCCTTCATATCAATGCATATGAATTTGATTTGATCTCCACTTTAAACCTTTCCAAATTTGATTCTATTCAATCTTTTTGCACATGATTTGGTTTGATTCGAGTTTGATGATGATAATGATGGTGATCAAAGCCTGAAAGAGCCAAAAAATCTTATGTTATCAAAGTTTTGGATTTTATATGATTTTATTTGATTAAAAATGAATAAATTCAATTAAAAATCAAATTAAATAATAAAAAATAAAATATGGGCTCATGGCTGAAGCTAGGACACGTGAGAAACTATGCAAGTTCAAATCAAGTGGAAAAGAATGGGCCCATTTGACAAAATTTGAAGTTTTGGGGATAGTTGACTTTTGGCAATTTTGCAAAAAAGTCCAACTTCAACAATGCATAACTTCTTCAATTTTGAACTTTTGGAAGTTTTCTGGGACTTTTTAGAAATATTGAGATGTCCTCTAACCAACCCTTTTGGTCTCATCTAATTTTGATATTCCATGCTCAATTTATAAGCTTTGGAAAAAAGGTGTTTTTGTTGACTTTCAAAAGTGACCTATAATGTCCAAATTTATAACTTCTTGTGAGTGCATTTTTTGATCTTGGGGTATTAATATGGATTGTATGAAATTGCATCCTCTCCAAAATTAGCTTTGGATGGGTCATTTATAATAAAGTATGAGAAAGTTATGCTTGGTCAAAGTTGAGTCGACTTTTCCTACAAAACCCTAATTTAGCAACTTTTGAGTCTTGATGAATTTTGAGCAATCCTTGATGAATCATGATCAACCCTTTATCAAATGATGAAATATCCTTTAAAATGAGAATGTTGACAAAAAATCTTGAAGTTTGACTGTATGTAGGTCACAACTGACTTTTGCCCTAACACAGTCGATTTTTGGACTTTTGAGCAATTGACTGAGTAAACTTCCTCTGCATGGCTTGAAATTTGACATGGATGATCTTGAGAACATATTAGGACATTGGGGAGCACTTAAGGTCATTTGGACTCAAGGATCTTGATGCAACACAAAACCCTAATTTAGGGTTGACTACCTTAGGAGATAACTTGTATGACCAACTCTTGAGCAAACTTGAGCAACTTGGAGATTTTTCTTGTAATGTTTTGAGGAATATGAAAGGGCAAATTTTGGGGTACAACAAAAGCGTTAAATTGCGGAAAATAAAGTCTTACTCTATTACATCATTTAGGGGATGGGGGTACAATTTACAAATGGGGATGAAATAGGAACTTAAATATTACAGCCATATCGAATAATAATGAAGGAAATGTAAAAACAGTGTAAAAAGAAGGAAAAATGCATTTTGAACTATTATGTGTCGACACAAGCTCCTATGCATCGACACATGACTTTCCTTGCCCCTGTATTGCCAAATAAACTCGGTATGAGTTGATACATAATGGTATGTGTCGACTCATACACTGCATGTGTCGATTCATACGTGCTTTGTGTCGACTCATACACTCTTTTTCCTTCTATTTTGGGACTATAAAGCAGTATGTATCGACTCATAAGGCTATGTGTCGACTCATACTGTCATTTTTTTACTTCAACATTGTTTTTCTGCATACATGGGTTAGTTCTCAACCCATAATGAAAAGAATGGAAGATAAACAAAAGGTTAGCTTCAAGGACAATGGTTACTACACTTTGTCTTCAAAAAATGAATTACTAATGATGCTTGAAATGAAGAACTAAAGTCAAGAAACTTACCTTGGAGCTGGATCTTATACTCTAAGCTTGAGTTGCTGTCTTGACTGTTCTTGAATCTTGGAAAAGAAAACAGAGGTGTTGTAGAAGCTTGTTCTTGAGTTTGAACAATTTCTAGGTGATGTATGTGAGGTGCTTAGATGTTTAGATAGAGCTTGCAAGGTGTAAGAGTTCCAAATATTTGGACTTTAAAACTCAAAAGTGGAAGCTTTTTTGGACAGTTATGGCTTTTTGGAGAGTATGGGCTCTTGATGGCTAGCTTACAACAAAACCTCTGGCTTTTCTCTCTATTTTTTCTAACCTCCCTCTCTTGCAAGTGCTTCTTCTATTTATAGGCAAGGGGTTTGTGCATATGAGCTGATTAGGTTTTCAAAACAACATGTTATGGTTTGGTTGGATTACAAAGATCAAACTAAGTCAAGTACTCCCTAGTCCCAAGATGAAGTACCAAAGTTTCTGGTATTAAGGAGATACTTTCCATTATGGTGGAGTATAATCAGCAACCAGCAAGGTATGGGCTCAAGACAAACTTTGTACAAAAAGCTTGCTTTTCAAGAATAGCAATGGTGCCTTTATACCATAAATGGAAAGATCTTTTGGACAATGGCTCAAACACTTGGGTAATAGCTCAAGCTCTTGTGTAAACATTAAATTATGTAGAGATTTTTAAGCAAGAAGTTCTGCAACATAAGATTATGCAGCATAGCATAAGGGTTTTGTTATGTGTTCTTCAATAGAAAGACTTGCAATTCAAGGATGGATGCCCAACTACAAGCCCTTGAATATCCTAGCTCAAGTATGATAAATTCATGCTCTTGGATGTTTTGGAAAGCTTGAAACATCCTCTATAACTTTCACGTTGGCCATTTTTACAGAATCATCTTGTAACTATGTGAAAAAATGCCAAGAAGTTGGGATAACATCCTGAATAAAATCTGTTGAAAATTTCTCTAAGTGTTAAATGAAAATGTCATGACTTCATGAATTTATAACTCAAAATCCAAGCACTTCTAGAAAAAGTCCTGCTCTACATTGTTTTAGATCTCATTGAGATCTATAACTTTCAATTTGGAAGTTTTCCTTGAATCATCTTGCATCTTGGTGAAAGAATGGTATGAAGTAATGAAATTATCATGTATAAAAGACACTTAGAAAATTTCTAAGTCTTGGAAATCTTGACTTTCAAGTTGACTTTTGACTTTCTTGACTTCTTGATGATCAAGCTTGATATTTTTGAATGTCTTGATGAAATTTGATCTTTGAAATATAATGTTGACCAAAAAGTCAAAGTTTGACTTTCCAGTATGTAATTGACCATTTTGCCCTTGTGCCAAATCCAAGCCTAAATTGATGTATCAGTGCTGCAAACTTGACGTTATAGAAGATCTTGTGAGAGAATCCTTGAGAAATGAGAGGGCAAATTTTGGGGTACAACAACTGCCCCTGTTCAATCTTCTTAAACCTGAAGGGTTAGATTGGCGAGTCTGTCATTCGTGACTTGAAGGTGAAAGATGATTGAACACCAGAGTGCTCAGAAATTTGCACTCGAAGATGAATTGTGAATGGGCTTATAGATGCCATTCGGAGGAATGTTGATAAATACTAGAATAAGTATCAACACAAATCTCTTGTTGATTTATACTAAAACTTGATGCTTTACCTGTGAGAAAAAGAGTTAGTAAAATGCAGATGTATGCATGATGTTTTCTAGATGTGGTATTATGCTAAATGCATTTTGTATGTACATGCTATGATGTATGAATGTGAGATGTATGTTTTTTGTCTGGGAAAATAAATCCCTGAATGCCGCTGAGGAAATTCTGAGGGGTTGAATCCCTGATTACCGTTGGAGATGAAGAATATGCATATCTTCAAACTTTGTTGAAAGGATGCTTTCGTTGGGGTATATCTCTTGAATGTCAGTTGTTATCTGGTTGGATCCAGGCTTCACAATTTGCTGAGGATGAAGTAGTCAACTGCTATCTGGTCGGATCTAGGCTTCTCGACAAATTACTGGGGGAAGAGACGAATTAACTGTTATCTGGTCGGATTCCAGGCTTTGCAAAAAATCTCTTGAAATTGAATAGTTATCTGGTCGGATCCAGGATTCACAACAACTTACTGGGGATACAGAAGTTAATTGTTATCTGGTCGGATCCAGGCTTCACAACAACTTACTGGGGATACAGAAGTTAACTGTTATCTGGTCGGATCCAGGCTTCGCAGTAACTTGAAGTGGTTACTACTATCTGGTTGGGTCCAGGTTTCATGGTTTTTGGAAAGTGGTACTATTATCTGGTCGAGTCCAGGCTTCATAGTGTCTCTCCGAGGATCATAGTTAATTGTTATCTGGTCGGGCTCTAGGTTTCACAATAAACTGTTTGAAAAAATGTCATTTGGTCGGGTCAAGGCTTTGCAGATTTTTGAGGTTGATGAGGTCAATTGCTATCTGGTCAGGTCCAGGTTTCACAATAAACTGTTTGGGGATTTAGTTGTTATCTGGTCTGTTTCCAGGTTTCACAACGAATCTCTGAGGGTGATTGCTATCTGGTCGGATCCAGGCTTCACAACAACTTGCTTGAAAAGATGAAATTGAAAACTGATATCTGGTCGGATCCAGGTTTCACAGTAATTTGTTAGGGCAGAGGCAAACTCTATTGGGGAAAATAAGTTAAACCTTGGTCGGGTTGAGTCCAGGTTCTTCTATATCTTTGAAGAGTTAGACTATTATCTGGTCGGGTCCAGGTTTCATAGTATCTTGAAATTGAGATCAACTGTTATCTGGTCGGGTCCCTCAAAAAAGCATTGACGGGTTGGCTACCTCAAAAAACACACTTTTCACTTTAACAATGGTCACATATCGATTTTGTATGCTTCTTTGCCTATCAAGTTGAGTCATCATCTTGAAGGGTTTAGGGTTTAATGTTACTGTTTTGAGTGATTTTAAGTATAAAAGCATTGACGGAGACCTTGTTGGTGTTATTGGTGATTCATGGCTTTTGAAAATGGATCATGTTTCTATAACTTGGCATTCAATCAAAGGTGTGAAAGAAGAGTCACCAGACGAGATTGTTTCATCTCTTTCGAAAGATGTTAAGTATCTAAAGTCGTAAAAAATAAAAACAAATTGTTCTTACTTTTATAGTAAATTGATAGCAAGGGCTGCAAGGTTGGCATTAATAGCTGAAGAAGTGAATTACCTTGATGCAATTCTAATTGTGAAAAAGTATTTGAAGGAAACCATTGAGCATTGGCTTGATGGAACTTTTAATGGAAATGGATTTCTCTATGATAAAAAATGGGGAGGTATTATAACCAAACAAGGCTCTGCTGATACCCATGCAAATTTTGGGTTTGGAGTTTATAATGATCATCATTATCATTTAGGATACTTTCTCTATGGAATTGTAGTGCTTGCAAAGATTGATCCAATTTGGGGTGCAAAGTATAAGCCTCAAGCCTATTCACTCATGGGCCCTTGCCCCTTGCTAGATGTCTGATTTATCATAACCTGCATTACAAACCCTTGAGATCCTTGAAATGGTTAAGGAAATGTTGTGGCATGATGTTATGATGTGTATGTTATGCATTAAGTAAAAGTGTAAGGTTATGTAAGAAAGTAAACCCTGCAAGAAATCCAAGTTATTGGATGATGACTGTGAACGAATCCTGCAAGGAAATCATGTTGTTAGATAAAAAACCCAGCAAATAGCTCAAGTTGAAATCAAAAAAATATCACAAGCGGCCTTAGGTTTAGGCTTGCATGGAGTTTATAGATAAGTACCCTCTTGAATGTTCAGTTGGATCAATCTGTCCTATGAATAGTAACCGGGTTCTAAGGGATCTCAATATCACTGATCTTTCCCACAAGTTTCGTTCAACAGGCGATTGACTCGCAACCAAACAAAACTCAGGAGTCAAACCTCAATGAGTGTAGCATCGAGTATCTGCCAACCTTGGGAATACACCAAAGCTGACCATCTCACTACGTCCTAATGGCCAAGTTGTGAAATTAAAGGTTCTAAGGTCAGTTGACGCTTTATGACACCACACAGCGGCCCCGTATTCTCCTTGATTGACTCATGGGATACCGGTACCAACCAAAGTGTCGCATCAACATAGACATCGCTTCATCCGTGTCAGTATACCATGCACAACTTTCACGATCTATTGTTACTTACCTAATAGGTGTTTTCCCAGATCCAGGTTTAGGATCTATAACTCAAACAGTACCCTTAAAAGTAAAACAAGAAAATCATACCAAGCAAATAATTAATGATGATCTAGACCCTAAGGTAAACCCCACTTTATAATCATCCCCAATAGAGTCGCCAGTTCTGTGATACGGTGGAATAACTGACTGTTAATACTGGTTTGCATTTTTTGTTCGCAAATGTCGTGGTAAGCAAGAGTCGCCACCGACTTTTCTTTTATCCAACAAAGGAAAGGGTGAAAAGAACCGAAAAAGACCTTTTTCGAGATTTTCTGAATAAGGGAGGTAGATTATGGAAAAGGAAGGTATTAGCACCCTTTCCATACATGGTTTTCCATGGGCTCTTAGGTACTTGCTCATCTTTTGAAAATTGCTTGTGTTGGTGTGATTTGAAAATCTTTGAAAATTCCTTGGTACGGCGTTTCACTTTATGGTAACCCTTGTATCAGCCCTCAAGAGTGTGATAAAGTGTTTTTTTTTGAAAACTTTTTGTTTGAAAAGTGTTTTTTAAAATGTAGGTTGTAAAAAGTTGTTTGAGCAAGTACCTAACAATTATCTACCTACTCGAAAAAAGTTATTCCTTTCCTCCTATCCTTTAGACAATGTTATCCTACTATTAGTGAGTAGGTAACCCTAGTCGTTGGATGTTTAGGGACTACCGAAAGGGATGTAATGGTCATTGAAGGCAACATGTAAGGATACCTTAGCATTTCGAAGGGACTATCATCATAAGATCATTTCTGGTAGGCAACTCGAGGGACAATAAGGGACTATGATCTTTATGATGACTTTTAAACTGAGGGTCTTTGCTAAGACATCCCTACGTTCGAGGGACATGACCATTGTTTTCCGAGGCAACCAAGTGAGGTATACCCTAAGGGTGCAAGTGTGCAGTAGTGTGCTTTTTTCAGATATTTTATCTTTCAATTTAGTGATCTAAGATTAATTGATTAATCATACACGCCTAGGTTACTAGCAATTATATACAAGCATGTAAAGTATAAAAGTGAGAAATAAAGAGGTTCCTACGCTATTACAAGGATTTGGTGCAGATACATAAGGAATTGACTGAAAGTAAAAATGCGGAAATAAAACTCTAATTAAGCTATTACAAACCGGGCGCAGTTACATCAATAATGAAAAATAATCGTTCAGCAAAAATAATTAAGCGCGAGAATCAAAAACTGGAGAAAAGATTCAAAACCCCAAAACAAACCTAATTTGATCATTAAAATATTTTTTTGGATTTTTATGAAAAAGGTTTCAATTTAACATAATTTTTCTAATTAAATTTAGTTGATGGAAAATAAATTAAAGTTGGTGAAATTAATTTATTTACAAAAAATAATTTATTAAAAAAAAGATAAATCCTATTTTTTTGTGATTTTAATTTTATGATTTTTTATGAAAAAATTGATTAATAAAAATAGTTAAACTAAATAATGATAATAAATAAAAAACTTGAAAAGATGAGAAATTAGGCCTGAGGGGGGTGTTGTTGCTGAATTCTACCAAGCCCAAGTCTGGTTGGCCCATAGCAAGCATTGGATTCAGTGGGAGGCTTGTTGGGATGTCCACTATGGAGATGCAGCCTGGAAGCGTGAGATCTTGCCAAGGAACGATCCAAGGGTGATGATCTGGAGATCTATGGTGTGCTCACTTGGAATGAAGGCACGGGATCTGCAAACAAGTGTTAAGAAAAATAACATGTAGGAGGCAGGGGTCGAACCCCTAACCTCCTACACACGCACGCTGAAAAGCCTCCACTTGTACCACTGAGCCAACGCTTCATTCATTATATCAAATACAAATAACATATTATATAACATAATGAGTCAGTGATGTAATAAAACGCGCATGAGATTTAAATTATCCAACCAAGTTTGGACACACCATCATCTTCTCCAAAGTAACTGTCGTTTTAGACAGGACTTTTACCTACGAACATATGTTGTAACTATAAACCTGCAAATCTCAAAAATCAACACCAGGCGAGATAAATCAAATCTAATTACATAGATCAACTGAGTTTGATCTCTTGAGTGCAATGGTGTTCATCTTTGGCCCTGATTTTTCCTAAACGAAAAGCCCTAAAACGAACCTCTAAACCTTAACAATGGCAGGTTATCAAATATGCCTCAAAACTCATAATTAATTATACAAACATATTCTAAATGATGATACAAACATGAATGTATATTTAGAAATAGTTTATAATGCGTAAATTCTCAAAACTAAATTCAAGAATAAAGAGCAAACTGTGAATCTGTATGGGCGGTTTCTGAAGGTGTTGAGGCGTGGTAATGGTCCAAATAGCTCCCAAATACTGCCAGGAATTGATAGCTAGCCTTGAAAGTCCTTGAATCTCCTTGTAGCAGAAAATCCAATCACCACTTTCTTTGTCAAAAGTTGAGTTTTATTCTCCCAATTTACACGACCAATCCCTTTTTTTCTGCTCTGGGAATGTTATGAATATATAATAGAACCAATTAGGTCAACAAAAACAGATGCAATCTTGAAAATTTATGGAAAAAAGATTTGATTTTCTATGGATATTTTTAGTTTCTAAAATAGGCCAAATATTGCTATTTTTGTTCCAATCATTCCTTGCACGAAATCCTTGAGTTTCCAGCTGATCATAGACTCATAGTGTGCTCATAAAATTAAATCTTGGATTTTATTTCATTAATCCGCTATTTAAATTGATTTATTTTGATTTAAATGAATAAAAAATATAAAAAAAAATAATAAAAATAATAAAATAATAAGTGGATAAGCTCAGGGGTCGTGGGCTATCTTAGGAACCAATTTCAAACAAGAAAACATGTGCCCATTTGGAAAAATATCAATTTTGCTCAATGCTGACTTCATGCGCATTTCCAAAATTTGGTCAACTTTAGAAATGCATATCTCTCTCTCATTTTTTACCCTAAGAGGGTGTTCTTGGACTTTTTAGAAAGCTTAGGATGTCCTCTAAACAGTCCTTTTGGTTTCATATTAATTGGATCTTCCATGTTCATATAAGGAGCTATGACCCAAAAGGTGTTTTTGTTGACTTTTTGAAATGACCTATAATGTATGAACTTGTATTTTTTATTGAGGCATTTCTTGACCATGAGGGCTAAAGAGAAGTTGTAGGGCATTGAATTATCTTCAAAATGAGACTTGGTTGGAAAATTTATGATAAATAATGAGAAAGTTATGTCTGGTCAATGTTTGGTTGAATTTTTTTATAGAAACCCTAAATTATCATTTTTGACTTTTGATGAGTTGGGAGCATTTATTGAAGAATCATGATCAACCCTTGATCAAATGATGGAGATTACTTAAAAATGTTGATCTTGACCAAAAATCTTTGAAGTTTGACTGTATTTGGGTCATAGTTGACTTTTGACCTAGTATAGTTGATTTTTCAATACTTGAGCAGTTGACTGAGCAAACTTGTTGTGTAAGGCATGAAACTTGACATGGGTGATCTTAGGGACATACTAGGGAAATGGAGAACATTTGGTACCCTTAGGACTCAAACATCTTGCTTGAAATTGAAATCCTAGTTTGAGGCTTATTGTCTTAAGAGGAGGATTTGTCTGGTCAATCCTTAGTCAACTTTAGCAATTGAAGATCTTTGGAGGCATGTCTTGAGTGAAATGAGAGGACAAATTTTGGGGTACAACACACACAAACATATTAATAGTTTTCTAAAATGATCAAGTACCTAAGAGCCCATGGAAAACCACAGATGGAAAGGGTGCTAACACCTTCCCTTTCCATAATCTACCCCCTTACTCAAAATCTCGAAAAAAAGGTCTTTTTCTATTCTTTTCACCCTTTACTTTGTTGGATAAAAGAAAATTCAGTGGAGACTCTTTCTTACTGCGACATTTGCGAACAAAATAACGCAAACCAGTATTAATAGTCGGTTCTGCCACCGTATCACAGAACTGGCGACTCTGCTGGGGAGAATAATAAAAGTGGGGTTTACCTTAGGGTCTAGATCATTTTGCTTCTTTGTTTGTTTGTATGATTTACTTTTAAGGGTATTTGTTTGGGTACTATAGATCCTACACCCGGATCTAGGGAAACCTTTTAGGTAAGTAGCAATAGATCGTGGAAACTGTACGAGGTATACCGACACGGTTGAAGCGATGGCTACATTGATGCAACACTTTGGTTGGTACCGGTAGCCCTTGAGTTAATCAAGGAGAATACCGGGCCGCTGCATGGTGCCATGAAGCGTCAACTAGCCTTAGAACCTTTAAATGAACGACTTAGCCATTAGGACGTAGT